GTGGTCAATGGTAATGCAATCACTGATGTTTTACTCCATTTTCCGTCTCTTTCAGACGAAAGATCAGACTGTGCTGCTCTAGACAGGATTACATGTGTCTAAAAAAAAAAATTCTTACACAGCATGTCCATACATACACATGTTTATGCTTCCTTACATGTATTGTATTCAGAGAAGGATTCCCTGGTCTTGCTAGCAATTCTTCTTTTAGCGGAGTGGGTTATTGAAACATACATCTTGCCCTGTCAACACCTGCTCCACAGGAGGATGAGATGTTTGGAGATGAATGCATAAGAACAATACACAAAAACATAGATGGTCAGAATGAGAAAACAAGAAAGAGGAAGAAATAATTTATATATATATATATATATATATATATATATAAATTATTTCTGTATTTCTGGCATGCACTTGCTTTTTCTATAAGATGTCTGTGTTCGAGTTGATGCCACAGGCCGCCGGTGTTGAGATTTCCGGCACCTTCTAATACTTGACTCTTAATCTCAGATTGCTACTACTGTAATCCCATTTTAATCTTCTCCATGCCGCCATGCTTTTGTTGTTTACATCAAACACATCCTGCTCATGCAGTACAACTTAAATAAATAAATAAATTGCATCCCATCTATCAACATCATCATCATCATCAACAACATCATCATCATCATCATCAACAACATCATCAACATCCCCTGTGCATTTAAATTCGCTCCACTTCATCACAAGCTGCAGGGTGTAAAAATAGGTCAGCTTCAAATGAGATCAGCTCCTAAGAGCACACTTTTATGTCTCAACTCTGGATTATTTATTTATTTATTGCAATAAAATTATTTGAGGAGCAGCTGAAGGGTTCTCAAAATGGAGAGGGTGAACTACGGTCTTATCAAGCCATGTGAAGGAAATCTGCCCCGGTCCAGATAAGACTGATTGCGCACGGTTCTGCCTCGTCGCTTCACTTCTGCAAATTTGCACAGAAAGGTTTCTTCTTATTTACATGCCAATTGATATTTTTAGCTGTCTTCGACAGACTCTGAACATCAAGGTGTCTTTTGTTGATGTCCTATCTCTGAGTTTGTGTCCATCATCCTCTCCTCTCTTAACCACATTTCTTCAAACTGCTGAAGAACTTTAAACCAAACGCTCTGAGGTTGAGATCCAAGTTCAAACACAACAGACTTGTCTCCATCTCCCTCTTCCTCCCGTGCGATAATTAGTTGATTTAAAAAGCTAAACCCAGTCAGAGAGATGACATACACACACACACACGCACACACACACAGACACAGAGAGACACACACACACTTATGGAAACACCACAGAGAGACCATCCTGCCTACAGGCGCAGCATGGGAGAACACTCAACTGGAAACAATACATCCTGTGACAAAATCCAGTCCAGACAAAGAAGCAGTCCAAATACAGGCTGCTCCACAAAAGCTTATCCAAAACTGAATGAGGGGGCCAGCCCCAGAAACGTACCTCATAGACAGGTCCTCATTCCTGACAGAGATCCCGGCCGCAGAGGGGGGGCAGCGCATGCTGTTGGCATACAGACTCTGCACCAGGGCCAGCTCAGAGGAGTGCTCCAACATCGGTGCTCTGGAAAAGAAAATCCAACTGATGCAACGGACACTTTTTTTTGTTGTTGTTGTTTTGCTTTGTTTTTTTGTTTGACTCTTTCTGCTCTTCCCTGTATCTGTGTGATTCCTCTTTCCTTTATCTGTCTCCCACCCACTCTTTCTCCTTGCTTCAGTGCAGCAGAGCAGCTCCCACCCCCTTCGCTGACTGTGGTGGCTGAAATAATCCTCTCTGACAGCTCATCGTGTGCTAATGCATTGTGCCGCCTGCGGCAGCCCGGCTCGCAGGCTGCGGAGCCGTGTCCATGGCAGCACTCGTGTACTAATAGAAAGTCATATTTCGGAAAACTTCAGAACATTGACAACGGGTGGTGAATTCCCACTGTTAGCTGAGAGAGAGAGAGAGAGAGAAAGAAAAAGAGAGAGAGAGAAGAGGGGGATATGAGGAAACGTCACCTGAGATGCCAGAAGATCTCCTCCTTGGCCCGTTCCTGGGTCCGTGACACATTCCTGTGGATGCTGGCATGAATTTGAAACGGTGCTCCCAATGGTGGCCCAAAGCAGAACAACTGTATCCTGCAAACTTTTTTTGTTACAGCCGATTCCATCGTTCTGCTTGTAAACACGGATCTTTGCACATAATGACCAAACGTGTAACTCGGTTTGTCTGCATACATAGTGCCAATTCACAACAATATTCAACAGCAGACTTCGAGTCCAACTCTTCTCATTAGTCAGCTGACAGTAAGCAGGAGTGCTGTGCTAACATATTCACACAAATCTTGTATGAACCTTTACATGTTGTGTCATGTTGCAACCAAAAAATATCAAAGTATTTTTCATTGGGACTTTATATAAAAGATGGAGACAAGGTGGCACACAGGGATGCGATGAACCGACCAGAAATCTGAAAAGTGTGGCATGTTTTTGCATTCAGTTCTTTGGAGTCAGAACTGCCTGGAGGTATTTGATGGCATAGTTTTGCACAATATCACGACGCTGGAAGTTTAAAAAGCCACAGAGTGACCAGCATGTTCAGCACAGCTTCCATGTCCTCCGTTGTCGCACTTGTGTCCCACACGGATCACGCTAAGCTATTTTTTGGATTCTGAAACCGACTGCTAGCTCTTAGAGGTAGCAGGTCATAATGGACCAGCTGTATTTTGGTATTAATAAATGGAATTCATGAATTCAACTTACTGACTCTTATTTAGCCTCACACTTAAAGAACTCAGCGTGGAGAACGGATGAATCTCCTCAGGGCCTAATCTGGGTGTGGCTGTCATAGCATGGAGGCCCCTAAAGTAACAAGACAAGATTCGAAAACAAGCATGTCTTCACCTCGTCTTTGGTGTTATTTTTTCATAGTTGTCATTTTTCTCTGAACACGCTCAGGCGACGTTGCAAGTTTTTAAAAACTGCGGGTTCGATTCTTGTAACGGAGTTTTGCTGTGTCACCCTTCGTGGCTTGTAGCAAACTTGTAGCAGGCTCTGTCGCGTCTTTCTTTCATAAATGTTCTCCATGTCGCGGCAAATGCAGAACCGTTCTTTCAAAATTCACTTACATGCCTTCTTCTTCTGCTCGGACCGGCCAGCGACATACAGGGAGGAAACTGGTTACAATGGATTTTATTTAGAAGCGTCAGAGTAAAGAAAGAACATTTTGTACCAAAGCTAAAACATCCTCTGAAAAAACCGGTGGACTTGCTCTCTCTTCAGCGTGTAGGTCAAGAGTTCAAGTATCTTGATGTCTTGTTCGAGGAATGATTGCAGGGCGGAGCGGGAAACAGAAGAGGACCTCTTCCACTGTAATGAGGTAGAAAGTGAAAACAACTACTCATGAGATTTAGATCACGACTGAAAGAACAGGATCACTGGTGCAGCCAGGTGAAATATACTTTACTCCACAGTGTGGCATATTTTACAGATTGGGGGATGAGTTTCATTATCTGGAGACGGCACGGTAAAAGCTTTCTGGATGGACGGATGGACGGAGACCAAAGTACACATTTCCCATTTTTATTTCTGAGACCTTCTAAAAACCGCCGATCATTTTCATTCGCCTTCGTGAAGCGACTTTGTGTCGTTCCACTAAATTAAATCGCTCTACAGTTCATCTAAATTTGTGGGTGTAATTTGAAAAATTGTGGAAACCTTAAATGGTTGTGAACACTTAACCTTCCGACTTTTCCTGTCAGCCACATGTCAGTAAATACGGGTAACAGTAGAGTTTTTGGAAACCCGGAAAAGGCTGCAGGCAGAACAGGATGAAAACCAGCAGACACGTTCGCCGCTCCGGCCTACACACAGCCTGCATGCGGTCCGGGGCTGTTGGGAAAAAAAAAAAAAAAAAAAGGGTCATTTATAGCTTAGACAACCGTCGCAGGCAGCTCCACTAGTCCCAAAGCATGACCTACACATGCCTGCATGTATTTCTACAGCAGGATGAATTTTTATTACATCTGAATATAAACCAGGAGGAGGGGGGGTTGGAGCTATCTGATGGCAGGATTCAGCAGCACGTTGGACAGACTCAAAAGAGAGAGCCCAACGCCTTAATTTGCATTAGACAAAGCTCATTTGACTGTGTTCTGAGCCGTGTAGGTAGGAGTGCGAGGAAGACAAAGCCGCCTTTGAAGCTGCAAAAAAAAAAAAAAAAAAGAAGAAGAAGAAAAAAGCACTTTCCTCACATGACTAACGCTGTGAAGACTCTGCAGGCGTGTGCCTTCAGATTAAAAACCTGGAAGCCGTTTATTACAACGTTACTTTAACACACACACAAAAAAAAAAACCCACAATCCCAAGAGGAGCTGAATGTAGGTCTCGGTCTCCCACAGGTTTTGGGTCCCCACTGTTTGTAATGTGACATTAAGCAGTAAAGTCATCTGAAACAGGGTCAGCGTTTGAGTGTGCATGTGTGTGTGCGTGTGTGCCGTTGGTTTCACACAACTGAGGGAACCAGTTTGAAGGAAGGGGGATCTAGTTCCTCTTTAGCCCTGCTGCAGAAATCCTCCTCGTTTTAACTCTGGTCTTTCTGCCAGCATGAATATTTCAGGCGGCGATGCTGAAATCCACTTTTATTTTATTATTTTTTCTTCTTCTTCTTCTTCTTCTTCTTCTTCTTCATGTGATGCTGCTAAGAATTACTGTCAGACCCACAGGCAACCACTCTGCACACAGAAACACTGACAGACTCTGCCGCAGCTCTGATCTAGCAGCACATGAGAGCCTTCCTAATGTCATGTGTGCTGCTAATCCTTCTCAGCTAAGAACACCCTGCAGAGATGAAATAATAGCACAGGAGATTGATGATTTTTCCCTTCTTCTTATTTTTCTTTTCTTTACAAAAAGAGCATCCGAGGCACAAGAAACTTGTGAAAACCGAACGCATCTGAGGCGTGCGTGTGCGTGTGTGTGTGTGTGCGTGTGTGCGTGTGCGTGTGCGCGCACGAGAAGCAGCCACATCCTGCTTGCATTCACTGCGAATGTGAAAGGGAGTGTTGCTGGGGCTCCAGTGTGTGTGTGTGTGTGTGTGTGTCTGTGTGTGTGCTGCTTCTGCTGCGGCTGAAAAACAAAAAGCACTCAAGTCTGCAGCGTAACAAGTCAAATTACTGCAACAACATGTTTGGGGCACTGCAGGTGGCCTCGGGATGAGCGAAAGCTTTCCCTTTTTACCACTCCTCGGCTCCTCTGGGGACCGTTCGAGCAGACAAACACCGTCTGTGTTGCTGCGGTTTATAACCGAAACCGTCTCAGCTCGGCGAGCATTCTGCTCCGCAGAGCGTGTAGAAGACAAATAAGGTTTTGTGAGCTTTGGCGTTAAAGAATTAAAACTAATTAGTACGGGGTTCGTAATGGGTGTGTATATCTCGTACAGCATCGGCATGGCAATTGTGCTGCAGGTGGAGGGCCTCGAAGTGCCTCTGAAACTTTGTGTCTTTTTATTTTTTTATTTTTTATCTGGATTTTACTTGATAGACCAACACAAAACAAAACAGCACACTGATTTCATCTGGGAAACTACGTTGCATTTATTAGTTTTGGTCCATTTTCTTTGCAGGACAACTCAAATCCGGTCAAACTGGAAAGCTATAGCATTTGGGATTATGCATCCCCAAAATGGTGTTTTCAGAGTGGTTGTAGTGTTTGATTTCTGGCATTTTTAGTCCATATAGTTAGATTTTTTTTTTTTAAATCTAATCTTATGGTAGGTTCTCCCACCCGAGCTGTGAGTCTTTGCAGCCCCTCCAGAGTAAGCACATTGTTTCTGAGCTATTAATGCTCTCCTTGCTCAGCCTGTCAGTTTAAGTGTGCGGCATACTTGTTCTATTTTCTGCCTGATGGATTGAACCGTCCTCTGTGACACACGTCTAAAGGTTTGGGATATATTTTTTTTAATCGCCTAACCTCGGTAAATAGCTGCGTTGGATGTGATTTTGAAGTGTCAGACTAAAAAAAAAAAGGGGGATGGGGGTGGGGGGGTTAATACAGAATACGCAACTCTTTCCACCTAAAAATTTCAACAAAATACGTCAAAGTCGTTGTTTTAAATATATATCTTGATGGAGGGGAGGAAATAAAGATGTTTTTTTTTTCTTCTTTTCTGTCAGATGTCTCACAGCTCTATCTTCCTAGGCAACTTACAGTGAAATTTATGATCCAACAGATGTAAGCCACAAGCTTTGACTGTATGAGACCTGACACCGGGTCGTGTGACTGGGAGGGAAAGCTGACACTTTCAGCCGTGAGCAGGAGAAAGAGAGAGAGAGAGAGAGAGAGAGAGAGAGAGAGAGGTTTCATCCTGGACATAGCTGCAAATAATTTCAAAGCTTAATCGTCTCATTCCTGAGTGTATGGCTCCGTGTGTGTGTGTGTGTGTGTGTGTCAAACCCTTGTCCGTGATGACTGACTGACTGAGGCTGCTGCGCCGCGTCAAAATGTCAGCATGTTTTGCATGGCCGGCGAGTCCTTTTACTTCCCCTTTCTGTTGGTCGCACATCAATTTTCCCACTTCCTCCTCGATTCTCTTTCATCAGATGACACCGAGTGGATTTCCACCCAGGCCATCTGCACAAAGAGAGACAGAGAAGTGGATAAGTAAAAATTATATATATATATATATATATATAGAGAGAGAGAGAGATTCTGTTCAGCAAAACTTTAAAAGTGAATGCTTGAAAAAAAAAAATTCAAAGCAGCTTCTTGGATCATTGGGTGTGGCACATTTAGCTTAAGTTACATTAGCACCTGGTGCTAAACAGCAGCCAAAATTAGTCTGATTCTGCACTAAGAGCTTAACTTGACCCTAAA